TTTTTTTTTGCCGTGAACTGTCTGGCAAGAAGACTTCACCGCCATTTCAAACCCCAGAACCAGAACCCCCACCAGTATCACGTACCACCACCCCACCACCAATGTCACATGACTGCATGGCAGGATTGCCTACCTACTGCTTTGCAGGCGCTACATGCACAAAACCTAACACAACGTGCCCTGGCAAGCACAAAACAAATTCCGTAAAGAACGAGCAGATTAATTATGTAGCAAATTCATTTGGCACACCTTGCAACTTGTTATTGACCTGCCACTGCCCCCTTAATAACACCTATTTATGACGCGTCTTTCTGAAACATACTTCAAATCTGTTCGCCTACGAACTTCTGTTCGAGTAGTACTCGAACATTTCGAATCCGAACACCTTATGTTCGTGTTCGTGCGATCACGAACAGCTTGATGTTCGTTCGAGTTCGATCGAATGCGAACATGTTCGCTCATCTCGTAGGCTAACATAGGGAGTATCGTTTGGATAATGTGCACAATTTACTTCGGAACAACAGAACCGTTGTTTAAGGTAATAATGAAATCTAGGGTACAATTTTCTGTATGCTATTTAAGCATTCTGTACCCCTGGTCGCCTCCAAAAGTAAGATGTTTTATTTCTCTTTTTGGCGAGACGAATCGAATCTGAAACCGCAACTATGGTTGCTAGATACTCGGTTAGACAATTGAGAAGAGCACGAAGTGTGATTTTCGCAACTCCGTTGACTTTCACATCGAGGAGGGCAATTGACTCTTAGGAGGGGTTTGTTTTGAAACACCAATAGTGTGAAACACGCCGTTGCAAAGTGTGATTTAAGGCTGAAACTTTCACCTTTTTTTTCTGAGGCCTTGCACCTACCCGCAGGGGCAGGGTAATCGCAATACACTCGCAAACACACACTTGTATCGCGCCAGCGTTGCCTTTGCGTCGCACTCGGGGGTTAAAATGTTTCAGGGTATTTACTTTCTCTTACCTCAAACAATCAGATTAAAACTGCGACGTCTCTCCCAGGAGAGGGCATGACTACTACCAGAGGCACTTTTCTCTTAAATTAAATGTGCCAACGCAGAGTGGCGAGTAGGGTCGAGGGTGGGTTTAGGAGGAGAGCTGAGGGGAACGGGATCCTGTGCTGAGATCAAGTGACGTATGTACACAGGGCATCACAATTCCATCCCATCCTGGAAGCTCCATTTAAGTTTTCCAATTAGGTTGTCCTTGTTCAAGTTTTCTAACCGTTGCTGCCGCCACCGCGGTGGTTTCGGAGGGCTGTAGAAAGGGAGGGGGAAAGGGAGAGAGAGTGGGGAGGCGTCAAGCGTTTGAGCTGGCGTTGCCAGCGTTGTTGTTGGTTGTGGGCGTCGCGACGCTAATTCAGGAGCGCGTCTAAAAGCGTTTGTTTCCGTGCATCCCCGAGATGTGAAGGCGGTAGAGTTGGCCGAGGTTGGTGGCAGTATAGAGCAAGAATGCGTGCGACGAGCAGGTGGCTCACATACACAAGAAAGGAAGCCTCATTACTAAACTGGCCTTACGTACGTACGACACTTGTTTTGACGCGCCTAGTGGGTTCGTGCTGATAGTTTTGCATGCTGTCATCTGTATCAAGGTTTTCTCAAATTCATGTCAATGTCAAGCTCTTTTCTAAAACTAATTTTAGCCAAAACAAACATGAAGAAGTGTTATATTATTTTCTAGTCTACTAAAAGTCAGTTAGTGGAGATATCAAAACCAACTATTATTTCTTTGGGAATATGTTGTTTTTCGAATGCTGTACGGAATAGTATGTCTGACATGTGGGAGAAGGAACAAGGTGAAATAAGGTTTGTATGACATGTGTGCAGATGAAACACAACCTCGTTACTAAATTGTCACTCTACAGACAAGGATAAGAGTGAGTGGGCTATTTCATGTGTTTAAGAGTAACATAAATTGCTCATACCTACTATTGTAATAAATTTTTATAAAACTTGTATACAATTGTATACAATATTAACAATTCTAAAATGTTATTTTAAGAGTTTTCAATACGTTTCATGGACAATTTTCCCGTAAAATCTACAACTAGTATGGACAGTGCAAAGTCTATTGGGGACTGTCGAAAAATACAAAAGCATTAACATAGCAGCACTACAATTTTTTTCGCAGATATTAGAGCGAACCGCAGCACAATCTCTGGCGCATCAGATGTTTTGCCCCGCGGTGGGCTCTGTGTTGGCGACGGGCGGTGTGCTGGCATGTTGGTCGGAAATGGCATGAATAATTGGGAAATAGAGTGAGGGCTTGCTCGGCTAGCAAAGAGAGGGAGAGACAGTATGTGGGGATGATAAAAGGGACTGAGGGAGACCGACACGGTACAGGCGTTGTCACGGGTCTCGCGGTCCCTTAACTCAAGTATGAACATGTCAAAGCGCCCAAACAGAACAGTTCGATCTGCTTTGCTGCCAAACCAAAACAGTTCGATCTGCTTTCGACTCCCGTCGACCGCTCCGCATAAACTCTATGACATCTCGAAGCCTGTGCAGAAAGGGGTAGGGTGTAGTACACATTCGTAAAGGACAAGGTAACAGCCCAGTCTTTTTATTTTACGTAGATTCAAAATACCCGAGGAGTTATAGCCCTCCAGAGATGCCTGACTTTCCATAGCCGAAAAGCACTGAATAAAGCTTGAAACCGACTGGCTGATTATAAATTTTATTCGCTACTATCCAGAAATGTGCTGTTATTTTGTGGTGTTAACTGCCCGTATAGGAATTCCGAGGTTTGAGTATGAAGGTCGGTTCGCGCGGATTGAATTGAAAATTCGCCAAATTTATAAGCAGATTATCAATTTTTGATAATTCTGTTCAACTATTTGTCAGGGAAAAAGCTACTGGAAGATACAGTTTCCTGCAAACTCTGGGCGCTGTAGCTGAAACGGTTCTGGAGGTATGTGCATGTATAGAAGCCCAAAGTTGATAATCAAGCGATACATTTATGCAGTGCTTAATTAAATCCACGTCACACAACCTTCAGAACAGCTTAAAACCAGTGCCAAATGTCACTTGTCCAGGTGTTAATAACTACATCACTGTAAAAAGTTTTCGTGACTTTTCGAAAAAAATGTTACGAAATGCCTAAAAAATAATTTACGATAAAATTTCGTAAGTTTTAATTTACTACACGTTCCCGTAAGTAACGAATATATTTTGTAACGAATGCAAATTTTTGGGTTAAACGTCAGAAAAATAGACAAAAACTATAACAATGTTCATACCACCTAGATGAAGCTTTGGATTTACAAAGCAATTCGTAAATAACGACGAATCGTAATTTGCTAAAAACGAAGTTTTCGTTATAGAAAATTAACCGAGAAAATTTCGTAAAATTACGATAGTTGTCTCAACAGTGATATTTTTAAAGCGTCATTGAAATGTGCCTGAATCACTCCAAAACATTCCCTTGTCAGCCATCCACAATTTCTCCTTCACACAAAATTATATTGATTGCTGTGTTATCTGCTAAAAAAAGGTTCCTCCAGGGTCACATATTAAAAGACGGTGTCACAAATTTGAGATCGGTGGGACGGATGAACACATAATTTCATTCGTTTGAATCGATTTAGAATTACAGTCTCACCCCAAATGTGAGTGGGAGTTAGCATCGTGGAGGCGAGTGGCAGCCAGAGTAACGCACAGGGCGAAGAGAACGGAAAGGAGGGACAGGGAAAGATAGAAGTCGAAGAGAGAAAGAACGCTCATGGTAAGGGAATGTTCCCCTTTTTCCAATCATTGAGGAATTAAAAGTTGGGGCGAAGTGCCCCCAAGGTAGCGCATCTCAAACCAGTTTATCAATTCCCACTCTGATTAAGTTAGAAAGAATACGAAAGTTCCGCACCAGTGAGCAGGCCAAGGCAGGCCTGCGCGGCTCGCAAGCGACCAGGGTGGCCACCCCCACCCCCGTCATATTTCATGATTCCCTGCTCCACTGTGTCTGTCGATAGGCTCCCCTTACAAGAACTTATTGTTTCCACGTCTCCCTTCTCCCTTAACTATTCCATGTATATGTGTCTGGATTTAAGGAATTAAGAATTAACCTTTGGCTTGGATGTATTTGAGATAGCTGACCCAAAAACATTTCCTATGCCATGGCATTCCACACGTGTTCCCATTCTGCGCATCAAAAAGATCCCCTTCCCCCGGCCTTGTCTCGCTTCAGAGTCGGCCCCATGTGCAAGTCCCTTAAAGTGTCGTAAAAGTAGCACGGCGACAGTAAACTTTGCGGTGAGCGGCAGAGGCTGATGTTATTCCCGTTAGTGGGCCAGTTGGACCGGTGGGACGCCCCCTTCAGGAGCAAAGCACGGCTGGCACAATGGCTGTTGCGGTGGGGCGGGGACTAGGGGTGGTTAGCGGCGGAGGCTGGGGGCAGATGGGCATCGCGTCGTCGGGAACCAAACTTCTTTCGTAATTACTAATGCAGTTGCTGTGTTACTCTACACCCACTTGTCTCCAGTGGCTAGCGCTGACTGCGAACTGTGTCTGGACCAGAGCTTTGCTCGCTTTCACTGGATAGCACGTAGCTGGATAGGAAAGAAACCGAATCGTCGAATCGACGAATCGTCGAGTAGTCGAATCGTCGTCGAATCGTGGCCGAATCGTCTGAAACACTACAACAGGGCATTAGGGTAGTTTCATTAGCTTTATTTTGATTTGTGAAATAATTGTAAGTACAGGTAACACATTGCTAAAAGATGCAATACAGTTACTAAAACCGAACACGAGACCAATTTTCATAAGAACAGTGATGCAATATATCTGAAGTACAAAAATATGTTTAGAAAGAAACGTCAGAAATTCTTCACAATAGTAACAATAGTACAATATTAACAGTGGGTGAGGCAGATGGGATCAGGGGCTATTACGTCTTTCCACTATTTGCGTTACATTCAGAAAAAAAAAATACTTATCTCGGTTGACAAAGTATACGATTCCTTGCGAATGGGGGAAGAGGAAAGTTGTATACAGTGCGGGAGAAAGTAAGGATTCATATAAGCATCGTGTATAGAACACGTGGAGCTAAGCAATTTCATTTAAAATACTGAGAACATGTTAACAGAAAAAATTAAAATAACTTGAGAATGAAGTGCATTGCGTGGTCCCAACCATCGTTATTAATCGGAATGTGTAAAACATAATAAGTAACATGATTGCAATGATTGTTGAAGATACATTAGGCAAAACGTTTTCAGCCATTTAGTCGCTGAGTAGTCCGCATTAGACGGAACTATATGTTCTGAAAATATCACAATATTCCAGGCCTGATTATAGCAAAGAAAATAAACAAATTACGTATTAGATACATAGGTAAGGCGCACAAAATCAAAGTATACTCTAAATTTCACCGTTGCCATTTATTTTGTTGACACTGTATCTGGATTTGTAATACTTTCGTAACAAAAGTCAACTCATATTTGCGATTACTTTAATTTATTGATTTTGCCATGAAGACTTTAAACAACGTGCAGAGTAAAGTATAACAGAGAGTTATCACATCTTATTATTGATCATTTTCCCCTATTCTTCATGAGTTATCAATTTAAAGTCTTCATGTACAGAAACATGATAAATCGAAGATATCACAAAACACAAGTTATATGGCAGTTATAGAGATTAATTCATCACAAATCTGGATTCAGTGGAGACAGCGGCAACCTCATAAAATTAATAACATTAGAAGAAAATGAACACAAAGGGTTACATAATTTTCCTTCAAGTACTGAAGGTAAAGGAATTATAGAATTTCATAACCTCTTCTGGCATTTGCTATAATTCAGTTTCTTTTCACTACGTGATAAGGCGTCGACTAGATCAGGTACTTTTTAGGGTTGGATCCACAAGATTTGTGGCTGATACGACATTCTTTGTTCATCTTTCCGGTCACGCGCGATCACGTTCCGAGAAGAACACAAAGCTGCTATACAAAAATAGCATTTGTAACGTAGGCACACGAGCACAATATCACACACAGACACACACCTTTACCCACTATTTACAAAGTAATACAAGATTTGCCCCCATCGAGTTGAGCTCAAGGGAACTGAGCAGTTAGTGACTTTAAGTCAGGTCAGCCTGACGGCTGGTCTTGCAGACGACAGATTGAGTGGTTCCGTTCGCTACGCGTCACCCCATACCACTGCGGTCTTGGCGCGATCCACGCTGAGGAGGAAACTGCCGTAGGGATGCCACGATACGGCCGTCACAGCGCTCCTAGGCAAACCAAACCAGGGTCTGAGAGGAGGGGTGGGGGCACAAGAAACACGAACACAGAGAAGAAAAAGAATAATAGGACAAAGGCAACACGGGGTAGGGCAGACAAGAGGTGCACATGCAGACACAAACAAAAAAAGGAAGGGGGGAAGAGGCAAATGCAGGCTGTTAGTTGCTCAACCACACACGTTTCGCTCTCACACTGCAATGGCTACGTTGAACTTACTGGTGCTCCTTGAGGATGTGCTCCACCTTGTTCGTGTCCACGTTCCAGATGTACACGGAACCATCCGCCGCACCCACTGCGATGTAGTGGGCGTCCGGGCTGAAGGCTGCGCGAGTAAAGTCACAGCCCACCTTGAATCCGTCAGCCCTGCGCCCAGACAAACAGTACGGTAAGACACACACCATACACTTAAATCAAAGAAACCTATCAAAAATCTTGAATAAAAGATCACAAGACACTCAGCAAAACCACACGTGTAAAAGTAATGGGGTGCAATTGCAGGCTAGTCTAACAACATGAGGACTAACTCCCATGCAAACGGCAATCAGACGGAAATATTGCAAGACTATCAAAAGTAGCATCACATTGATATTAAAGTATTTAACCCATCGACACTTTGAACTGTAGAACTCCCTTATACGCGCTGCTTTAGTGGTGCACTTTGAAACGTAAGTTGTACGCTTTCAAAGCGGAATATATCAAAGCTAAGAGTGTGCAACTGGAGAGTTATACACCTTCAGGGGGGTCAGGACAAAAAAATAAATTTCGGTCTAATTTCAAATTAAATTCCCCACTTTCAGTTTGTTATTTCGATTGTAAAGAAATTTCAAAAACAAATAGTTCTACTTTGTTAAGCATTTGTTAAGCAATTGTTAAGCAAGGATAATGTCCACTTTAGAACATTAGTTAAATGCAATACCTTGCCCACAGTCTCACATCATACTCCTGCAGAAAACACGGTTTTAGGGCACTGAAATAGTCGCAATTTGGTCCTGACCTCATAAAGTGCACAACTGTAGAGTTACACACTTTTCAGTGCACAAGTTGTGAGTTGCACAAACTTTGTGTTGAGAAAGCTGTTGGACACTTTATCTCAGAGCAAACATGTTTACGAAGAAGACTTTCAAGGAAAAGGCTGCGAGTGTGAACCCATAATGCCCATTCGCTCGTCCCTAGCCCACACGGCGCACCCTGGAGCAGGCCTGACCGCGCATTAGGAGAGTGTGCGACCACCTCGGTGGCCGCCGCCACAGACTGATCTCAAAGGCTGGCTGGGGCGACCGTTTGCTCCTAGAATTGCCAGCATTAGGCGTGGGGCAGAATTGGGACGCATTAAGACTGAGCTCAACTAATCAGGGAAAAGGCGTCTCGCGGGGGCAGGCGGGGCGGGCGCCTGCTCCGGTGTTTGGCCATCCTGCTGCACGGTAAAGGGTAGTGGGCGGGGAGCGAGAAGGGAGCTGGGCGGAGAGAGAAAAGTCACCATTCCCGGTGGACAGCGCAGCGGCAGTTCATGAGGCTGCTGTGGCGCCGGTGCTGCGCCGGTGCTGCACTACCTCTGCAGCAGACTCAGCCGTCCGCTTTACAAAGTCCCCGCTGCGCCCGCTGAGTCACATCCGGGGCTTAAACCTCGGCCGGGGCTCCTCCGACTCCTCCCCGCCCAGCCCACACTAAAGCAAAGGTCGGGCCACCCTTATTGGTCCGGCGGCCACCACCGTACTGTCCGGCTCGGCTCGTTCGACCACGGCCGTAAAAAAAAGGTAAATTTTGTTCGGCGAGCTTAACGAAGGAAGGGACGGAGGGACGCTACGGCCCAGTGGCGGCGAGTCACCCTTTTACTAACGCTCGGGCTAACGGGCGCTATCAGGAAACACGGAGCCACACGTTATTTGTAAAAGACAAGGAGCAGCTCAGCAGCTCCCATTGGCCGTGTACGAAGAAATATTACACATTATGGGTGATTATAAGAATATTTTATAGTAAGAATAAAGTTATATTGAAGTGTTATCATTGACGTAATATCGGCTGAAGGGCCGTTTTCTTGTATAGCCTTCACGACGGTTTGACTCGCCTGTAGGCCTATCTACATGCGAGACAGGCGCGTCGCAGCATGCCAGTGTTTCGAGAGATATCGCGGAGCCTGTTACGCAAGACATGGTCTGGTTATATTGGGTACAGTTCCACTTGAGTTGAGTTTGCAGTATGAGATGATGTTTACTGTAACATTATTTGAACTCATTCAATCCACAACAGCTACGCAGCATTATTATTTCCGCGCCACAATTACCCAATGTCACCTCCCTCTCTGTAACCCCCGAACGGAGGGTAGGCGCAAGGTAAGTGTACGACTGTAAAGTTTACTTTCTATGCTATTTTCAATGACAGAAAACAGTTACTCAGCGTTGTTATTTCTGGGACATTGGTCGACAGAAGTTTGCCTTTTATGTCCTGCTCAACGGCAATTTTTTGTCAAAAACAAATGGCGCGTCGTAGCTCCCGTTGATTAAGCTAGTAAAAATAATGTACTACGAGTATAAATAAAACTGAAGTGATCCCTGTTCTTGAAATATACAGCAAGGGTTTGAGAGAAAAATGTGAGAAAAACTTCAAATTTTGAAGGGTAGGCCAGATGGCAGCAAAGGCGTCGCAGAGAGCAACACGGTGGCGACTAAGCCAGGCCGCCGACCTGACAAAAAAAATGTCATCTTCCAAAAGTGTCGGTATCCCAAGGTTAATATGGAGATGAGGGGAGAAGGGGTGGCGGCTGCAAGAGGAGCGGGGGTTGGTAGTTCAATCTGTGCGAGTGAACGTAAAAGCGGAGTAGAGGGGGTGCGTGTATATCCCCGTCTTCCCCTGTTCATGTCTCTCTCTCTCTCTCTCTCTCTCTCTCTCT